TGGAGGATAAAACATATAAGGAACGGTTGCTGGAATTGGGTATGTCTAGTTTAACAAAGATAAGGATGTGGGGGGACATGATAGCTGTGTTCCAATATCTCAGGGGCTGCCACAAAGAAGAGGGAGTCAAGCTATTTTCCAAAGCGCCTGAAGGCAGGACAAGAAGCAACGGATGGAAACTAATCAAGGAGAGAAGCAACCTAGAACTAAGGAGAAACTTCCTGACAGTTAGAACAATTAACCAGTGGAACAACCTACCTCCAGAAGTGGTGAATGCTCCAACACCCGAAGTTTTTAAGAAGAAACTGGACAGCCATTTGTCCAAAATGGTATAGGGTTTCCTGCCTGAGCAGGGGGTTGGACTCCAAGATCCCCTCCAACTTTATTATTATTATGGATCATCGCACAGTCAGACAGATGTTCAGACTGGATTTGGCATTTTGTCTACCTATCGAGTCCTTACCCAGGACCTGGGATAGGCAGATGTGGATGTTTGATGGTATTACAGGTATCGTCGCAGGATGGAAGCAGTTCATAGTAAGGCCGCCTTTTGCAATTGACTAATAGCGAATTTGTCAATGCCAATGGTGTTCAAGTGGTGCTCCAGTTGTTTTGGGATTGCACCCAAGGAGCCTATCACTATTGGTACTACCCTTGCTTGCTTTTGCCACAGTCTTTCTATTTCTATTTGTAGGTCTTTGTATTTTGTTATCTTCTCCAGTTCTTTCTCATCTATTCTGCTGTCTCCAGGCACTGCCACGTCCATATCCAGACTTTTTTGTCTTTCTTATCGACAATTGTTAAGTCTGGGGTATTATGTTGCAGGTGCTTGTCTGTTTCAATTCTGAAGTCCCAGAGCAGTTTAATTTTATCATTTTCTATGACTTTCTCTATTTTATGATCCCACCAGCTTACAGGCAAATGATATTTTTTGCAGATCTTCCAATGCACCATTGTTGCTACTTTGTCATGCTGCTTCTTGTAGTCAGTCTGTGCAATCTTCTTGCAACAGCTTACCAGGTGGTCCACTGTTTCTTCAGCTTCTTTGCATAGGCGGCACTTACTGTCTGTTGCTGTCTTCTCAATTTTGACTTTATATGCATTTGTCCTTAAGGCTTGGTCTTGTTCAGCCAGAATTAGTCCCTCGGTCTCTTTCTTCAATTTTCCTGCTCTTAGCCATTGCCAGGTCTTGTTATTATCTGCTTTCCCAGCTATTTTTTAATGTATTGGCCATGTAGTGCTTTGTCTTCCCATGCCTCTATTCTGTTCTTCATTTGGTCTTTCTTATAGGCCATTTTGGTCTTTCCTGTAGTCAGTAAGCCTTCCTGATATACTAATTTCAGTGCATCTTCATCATTGTTCTTCAGATATTATTCCAAAACCATTTTTTCTTCTTCAACCATCTGATGTATTTGTAGCATAATAATAATAATAATAATTATTATTATTATTAAAAATTGATCTTTTATGTTGACATTGGAAATTACTTTCCACATTTTGATTATGTGCCACCAAATTGCTATTGACTTTTAGAAACCACATACATTTTCCAAGATGATCTATCCCCAACTTGGCCCTTTAGATCTTCCAATAATGCACCCTTCACTTCTGCAGCTGAATCTATCACCTGGCTATTAATTGTCCTCTTCCCTCCATTTCCCCCAGCTTTTTGGACTTCTTTAAGGAAGTTGATTTTTTACATTATGTGCCCAAAATATAAACATTTGAGGCTGCTAATTTGTACTTCAAGTGAGAACTCTGGATTGATTTGTTGTATGATCCAATTTTTTTTTTTGTAGTGTTCTTAAGAGCCATTTCCAACATCAAATATCAAAAGCTTCAATACTATTTCTATCCTGCTTCTCTGAAGTCCATAGAAATTTATAGGAAAACCACTGCCTGTACAATTCTGATTTTTGTAGATATAGTCGTATCATGGCATCAGAATACCTTTTTCAAGGCCTTCATTACTATCCTACTAAGTATCAGTCTATTGGTTCCTTTAATGTTGAAGGTTAATTCTAAAAGATGGAAGCAACCCACAATCTTAAGGCTGGCTGCCATAACTGGGGGGTCCCCAACCTTTTTGGTTCTGTAGACTGATGGCAGCTTTGGCGGCAGGGGGAGGAGTGGTTTCGCACATGCAACTTAAATCCCATGCATGCACAAATTGCACACTGACCCGCTGCTTCAGTGACCCAGTTCCCAACAGGCTGTGGTCAGTAGTGGGCCACGGCTGTAACTATTGTCATTCATTCGTTGTTCTTTATATTTAATGGTAGTCTCTTTTTTATTATTATGGTCCTTGATTTTCCTTACTAAAGTTTGTATTTACATTTTTCCATTATCAGAATAGTGCCATCAACACAGCACAAGTTATTGATTTTCATTGGAGGAAAAAACATGAATTATTTTTTTAAATCCAAGTTCATCTGCTACAAATCTAGCCACTATCAATATATATTCAGCATAAAGACTGATTAAATAAGAAGACAGTATACAGCTTTGTTTCACTTTTTTGCTATGTCTAGACCAGCGGTTCTCAACCTATGGGTCGCGACCCCATTTGGGGTCGATCGACCATTTTTCGGGAGTCGCCAAAGGCGGCGATCCGCCATTTTCTCCCCTCAGGGGGCACCACCGTGCATGCGCGCCGCGCATGGGGGCACCGCGCATGCGCACCACGCATGGGGCAGTGCCCCCATGCGCGTGGCGCCGTGCATGCGCATAACGTTTGTGTGACGGGGGTCGCCGTCACACAAACGTTGAGAACCACTGGTCTAGACAATGGCTTCCAGGTTTTGCATGAGGATAGTGAGATGTTCTGGGATTCCCTTTTTCCTAAGCTTGACATGGTTGACACATTGAAAGGCCTTTATACTTGGTGAAATACATACTGGATTCTTTTTGGTATTCCTTGGTTTTCTCAGTTATAACTGTGGGTCAGCATTCTCTGCCTTTTCTAAAATCAGCTTAAACATCTGGCATTTCCCTTTCCACGTAGGGCTCTAATCTGCATTCCATGTTTCTAAGTATTAATTTGCTAACATGTTAAATTAAAGCTACTTTATCATAGTCTGCACATTTTGTTAATTCTTCTTCCTTTGGCATTGATACATAGACTGACCTTTTCCAATGTTGACCATTATATCATTCCTGAGATTTGCTGGCAGTTTGGTTAGAACTGAAACATTTTCTATTACTTATATTTCTGTAGATATTCCATCAGTTTTTATAATCTTCTAATCTCGTAATAACTAGAGGATTGATCTAACTTCAGCATTTAGGACAATAGGTTAATGTAAAAAACCTTTAAGTTATCCTGGCGGTTGACAGAATTTCAGTGTATTCCTTTCATCTCTATGATCTTGAAATCAATTACTATTTGTCCATTTGTCTCCTTTAGCATAACAAATTGAGGTTGGACCCTTCCCCCTTCTGAATTCAGAGATCTTTTGGAAATCTTTCCTTACTTTTATATTAGTTTCATATCTTTAGAGATGTCATAATGCTGATCCTTGTGTCTTTTAATAGGTCTTTGAAATTCGCTGAAGTTTCTGAGAATTTTTTCTTGAATTTTGCTTCTTGTCTCAGCAGTTTCCACTGTCTATTCTGATTGTTTGTTTTCTTTTGTTTTTTGGTGATTGACAGTCTCTTTTCTTGTTCATCCTTTAATTTCACTTCACAGTTCCTCTATTTCCCTACAGTGAGATTCAGGACCTCAATGCGGTCCATGATTATCTCTCTGAAAATGGTGGATATATGGTGAAGATCATGTTACGAAGACTGTCTTGTTCTTCTTTGCTTTGCCTTGACTTGGAACTTGCACATGAGTAATTTATGATCTGGGGCTTATAAACTTATGGTGTTATTTTTATGATTATTATATTGTGTGATTTGCTACGCACCACCTTTTTGCTTAACAAAAATGTTGAATCAAAATTATTATTATTTATATATAAGTCAATCAATTGTAAGCTTTTGGCATTCTAGTTTTAGTGTCTTTTAAAAATTATAATAATTGAAATGCAAATCAGAAACATGTATTTTTACTTCAACTATAAGTATAAACTTTATTGTAGGCCAATGAATGAAGTTTCTCCATAGAAGAGGTGAATTTTGAAACTTGTCTCCTGAAGAGAAACTTCATTCCACTCATAAATTTATTTATACTTTGAAGCATTTTGCTGAATGCTCAATAGTTTAAAGATTTCCATCAAACATATTCCATCAAACATGGCATCTTACTTCATGGTGTTGTGGGAATAATGATTATAATTTGATCAGCTCAGCATGTCCTTGTGCAGCATTGTTTCCACAATATGCTAATGTCAATTTCTAATTATACTCAGCCAACAGCTGTTAGAAACTCCAAGCCATCTGTAGTATAGGAGCAGCATTACTTTTAAAGTGACTATGGAAGCAGTGCAATTCTTCCTCAATGATAGATCACTGAGGAAGCACAACATAATAGCTACAGTATCAGTAACCAGTAGTGTTATTAGTATCAAAAGTTACCATCACCAGTCAGAAGTCTTAAAGGGAGCCACTATTTGACTTTCCTTCATCTGTTTGGCCCTCCCCAGTAGGATCTGTAACTATATGAACGGGCAAATCCATCCAAGGTACTTTCATTAGTTGAGTTCAAGAACTGATACCAAACAATGTATAGAAGAGTGGAAAAAAGCTACAGTTAATTAAACCAAGCTGTTAGTAAAGCCCAGATTTTGAAAAGAACTTATATTGGTACCTTTTGACTTGATTTGGTATTTGAACAAGATTTCCTTGAAACCTCAACCACCCACTTTGCTTTTCCCAATCTAAACTACAATTTAATGGCAGTTTGGACTCATAGGCTTAAGAGCATTTAAAGAAAATATATTAATCCCAAAGTAAACAAATTTTAAACAGCCTCAAATGTTGAAAATACCTTGGAATAATAATGTTGATAAAAATGAAGACAGATAACGTATCTCATTGCAATGAATGGTTTTATAGGATTCTGTAAAATGCCACATGAAAAGATTGCTTCAAGAGAGCAAAAGACCATTAGAAGAGATATATAGCGGTTCATGATTTTTAGACAAATTTTAATATTAAATACATTCTTTACAATATGACCATTGCTTATTCAAGTTTTGTACCAAAAGACATATTCCAATATATTCCAGCTTTGCTCAGTTGTGAGTCTATAAGCTAAGAAAACATTTTTGTGCCGGTAGGCTGGTGTCTCAGTGGTAGATACTTCATGCTTTGCCATGACATTTATGCGTGGGCTTCTTATATTTACTTGCTGAAAAAAAAAATCCTCTCTGGAAAAGAGTGGCTGCCAGAAAGAATAGCATGCTTTGCAAGCAAGTCTTTTTCGGAATAGGAGTAGGGCCAATCAGCACAAGATGCTTTGACTTCAAAGATGTTCAATGAAATCATTTATGAACAATCCATGTAGAAATTATCTGTGTAAGCTACACTGAGGCAAAGAACAGGGTTGTACAAGACCACTGTTTTATGTGTTGTACAGCTTCTGTATATTCCAGAGCAGTTTAGGCAAAGTATGTAACAACTTTATACTATAACTGGAACCCTCACTTTCCCATTCTGCTGTTCCTTATACTAGCAAAATCTGCCACCTCAGCTACTGCATTTCATTTTGCTCAGGGGTGGCCCTTTTCTGATTATGATTGAATAAAAGAACTGATGGTCCCTTGCTAGTCCTACATAACATTGATTCTGCAGCTTTGTTTGTATTTTAGTTATGGATAAGCACTAAGCCAGTTACTAGTTCTTAAGTCATCCAAAATCCAGAATTAGCTTTCTGGAATAGCAAAACAACTTTCAGATTCTCCACCTTTAGTTTTGTTCCTTTAGATGTCTCCTACTTTTTGACCGATGATCCCAAATTTGGAGTTGAGTCTAATTTAGACCAGAAACAAATTATAAACAAAGTCCGAAGCTAAATTTTGATATTTGGAAATGTCCATGGCTTTCTTGGTTTCTTGCAAAAACAGTTTTGCCAATACTAAAAATAAATCAGAAAAGTAAAAAAGATCCAGAACATTTCTCTTCAGAATTCAGATTGTATAAATTTATGACAGCCCTTCTCACTTCCAAAACTGTTTATATTTGAAAGGTACAATATCATTCCTCTATAGCTTTCTGTAGCAGTCTAATTTGTCAACTTTCATATGTGGTTGTTTTTGGACAGATATGCTATGAGTGCTACAGCAACTCCTACATAAATGCCTGTTCCAATGGTGATGGATAGCACAGCCAAGAAGAGAGCTCTCCGTGAACTGGAGCTTGCTTGGTGGAAATCCCCTTTAGCAATGGCTTTGTTTGTCTGCAAGAATGGATAAGGTTTGCATTAGTGAGTGTGGATATGGCAGCCACTTAACAGGAAATAACATGAAGAAATTTGAAAAAAGTATATAAGATTTGGGGTTTTAATGGCCATTATTTTGTCTGAAACACACATTTTTTCTGCAATTCATGGATAAAACTGTCTTTCACGTACTTCATGTACTTTTCTTATCTATCACCCCCCCTCCAATACAATTACTATTAAAATCAACAGCATTCCATATTTTCAGAATCAAAAAGGCCACTATTGTTATCAAATAGCAATAGAAAAGCCCACAGAGACCACAGTATAGTGGACATGAGTCCACAAATTTAAAAATATTTTACAGTTTATCCCAATAGAATACAATTGTAGATATCTTTTGGATAGCACTTTATGGCTAAGTTAGAGAAATCTGTGATTAGGGCCTTTCTTTTTCCCCTAGTAGCAACTTGGTTGAAATTACAGGACTACAGAACAGGACTAACATTTTTATCCCATACTATTTGATCAACAGAAATCATTGTTCTGAAATTGGCATTGTTAAAAAAAGTATGATTCCAAAAGGAAGTGATTTTCCTTAAAATATATTATAGTCACTAGAAAACCCTTGTGCGCTTTTTTGCATAAAACAGAAAAAGTGAACTTATGATTTATAATTTTGATGACTAGACAGGATAAATTATAGAAAGAAAAGAGTCATGTTACAACAGCCTAGAATAAAAGGTGAATTTATAATTGCACTTATAACTACTGTAAAAAAAATCAGAAGTCACTTCTTTTTGATTTTTTTCTTTCTTTCTTTACTATTGTATTTTTCCCCTTTCTTGCACTTTCTGCTTTCTTTTTGCTTTTTTCTCTTTCTTTTCTTCTTTGGACTTTATATTAGTTTGAGTTTATATATTAGCCAATACAACCAAATTAGTCCTAAAAAGCGCACACTCAAATGCTGAGTCCTTTCTTAAGAACTGGCAAGGGAGACAATCCTTCAGAAAACTCTTCATAATGCTCTCCATCTGAAAAGAAACTGCAAAAGAGCATGGGGGAAGAGGGTTGGTAGAACAAATACATTATATTCTTATTTAGACAGTGATATTTGAAGGAAAGGGGGGTGAATTTTGAATAAAAAAATCTGTGAGCAAAGCAAATGTTGAAACTGAAAATAAATCTTAAGATTAGAATACGTTCAGTTATACACACACAAAATAAAATTAATGAGTAATGTGGCTTCAGTGAATGTTAAAATTTTGTTATTAAAAATAAATCCTTTCTGAGAAATTCAAAGACAGCAAAATCTTGATCCAGAATATGCTCTAACACTGAAGTAGCCAAGCTTAATGCAAATTCTCCCACCAGAGACATGCATTTCATATGAATGAAGTAAAAAAACCCAGTTCTCTTTTCTTTGCTGTCCTGAAGGGCATTTCTGCAATAACTATGCATTTCAAATCTTTCCTCTTTAAAAAAAAAAACAAACACATAGTGAGAGACTATGGTTGGCATCAAAATGATTGATGAGCCAATTTAAAAACCTCTCCAGGCTGAAATGTTTTCAATAGCAGACTAAGAACTTTAATAAACAAAAGTCACAGCAAGCACAAGAATGCTAAGTTGAGATCGCTTCTTCATTAACAGCACAGGGCAAGCTAGCTTGTTCAGCAGGAGATATTAGTAGAGATAACAGTGCAATTCCCTTGTAAAGGTCTTAGATCTTTTAGCACTGAGCATTCTTTTTAGCACTGAGCATTCTTCATTGTCTTTGTTATTCTCATCTATCTGCATAGAATGTCTCTAGGTTTCTCTGCACTACTGCACTATGCACTGTATTTGCAGTGTACAGAAATTATATTCTGCTGTGAAATCATAATATCAAGGTTGAATGCAATTCAGAAAAAAAAATAAGCATTAAATGCTTGTGCAGGCTAAATGACTTCATGAGTGAATTTCTGCAGGGCATTAGCAGAAAAAGCTAATTGCTTAACAAATGGCAAGAATATACTGTATATTTGAATTGTATTCCTATTTATTTATTTATTTATTTCAAACACATTTAAATAGTCTTTCCACGCTTGCTGAAAAAGTATGGAAACTGTAATCCAATACCTTTGAAGACAACAGGGGAGGCTGGTCCAAGTACACATTCTTCAGTTATACAACCAAGGTAAAAATCATAGTTTGGATACACACATCATGCCATATCATTATCTGAATCATGGTTTGTTGAAGAAATTACAGTGGCCTGGTTCACATTGCATGCTGCGTCTTTCACACCTCAAAGGCCAGGTTTACTTCCCAAGCCAGAAGTAAATGAACCACCTTGTAAATAAACAAAGTGAATATTTCTGGACTGATATGAAAATTGCTTGAGATTCATGCATTCTTATAAGATGGAAATGTATATGTCAATCCAATTTAACAGATAGCCATTCATCCCATTCCATAAATATGTTTTTTAAAAGCAAGGACAAGCAAAAGGGATTGACTCACATATAGTAGAAATGAAAATAAAGATCCAGCCAATTTAAAACAGATGCAAGTTATATAAAGAGTGAGAAAGGATGATCAACTGATAAGAAAAAATAAACATGGTAAGGTAAAAGGGGTTCTTATTTTGCTTTGCTGATGTCTGACAATCATATCTTCTACTGGAGGAGCCCTGGGACAACTGGTCTCTGCAGGGAACTCTGAGAATATTTTGGATCAAATTGTATTCAATAGCTAAGCATCAGAACATTTTAGAATTTATGCAACTGTGAAACAAATGGTTACTGACATTAACATGACTAGGGCAATCAATGCTAGATCTGGGAAGATGGTGTAAAAGGGCTAGAATGACATGCCTGATATATAAGGCACTTAGGATAGAACAGAGATTGTACTTCATAGGAATGTTCTTTGAGAGGATTTTATCCCTGAAGTAGACCCAGACATTCAAGTAAATAGAAAATATTCCAAACAAATTTGCAAAAGATGACAGAAAACCAGCAGAATTTATTTATTGTGTGGTTAAAATGCTATTTGTAGCATGTAAGGATCTATGGAAAATACAGAAATGGCCAAATTAACTGAGAAGAGAACAATTTGTATTCCAATACCAAAAAGGGAAGTGCTAAAGGATGCTCAAAATACCATACAATGATTGATTGATTGATTGATTAAATTTATATGCTGCCCTTTCTGAGAGGCCTACAAATAATAAAAAGAAAAATAATTAAAGTTTAAAAAGTGATAGAAAAAACTAGAACCAACTAAAGGAGAGCATCAGGATGAGAATGTCTACTTACCTTGTCAACCACTTCCAGTTGAACCCCCCCCCCTCTTGGGGCCCAAGCCAACTGGCAAAACCAGGTGTCAATGCCATTCTAGGAGGCTAAAAGTGTGGGAACAGTTCTCGCCTCCGGTAACAGAATGTTCTGCAGGGCAGGGGCCACAGCAGAAAAGGCTTTTCCCCTTGACCCCACCAACCAGAATTCCTTAATAAATGGGGTCTGCAGCAGTCCCTTCCATTGGAGTGAGTGAGGCAAGCTAGTCCCATTGAGGCAAGATGGCTCTTCACGTAACCTGCTGGACCCATGCCAAGAAGGACCTCAAAAGTAATAACCAATTGTACTTCTCCCACACGCTAATAAGATAATGTACAAAATTTTGCAATCCACATTTCGACAATACATAGAACAAGAATTGCCAAACAGGATTCAGAAGAGGCAGAGATCAAAACCCACATTGTTACCATTCAATGGATAGCAGAGAAGGGAAGAGAGTTCTAAAAAGACCTATTCCCCCTTACTGAATATACAAGGATGTTCACTTTGTAGACCATAGCATACTGTGGATAGCCTTTAACTTTCTGGTAATCAACAATTGGAAAAGAATATGTAACAACTAAACATTGGTCCAAAAATGGAAAAAAACAGTGCACTAAGACTGCATATTGTCACCTTGTGTTTTAATTTATATGCAGAATATATCATTATGGACTAGAAGACGGAAAATGGAATTAAAATTGCTGGGAAAATCATTAACAACTTCAAATATGCTGATGATTCTTTGAAAGATGTTTTAGAGAATGTCTTGCTGAAAATAAAAGAATGCAAAAATTGATTGCTGCTTAAAAAGATTATTTCAGCAGACAATTGAATGCTTTTATCCTGCTGGGCTTAAAAATTTACCGGGATTGTTGCTACAACCATTAAATAAAGAGGTATCTACTATTTGGAAGAAGGTCTGTAACAACTTTAGACAAAATATTAAAGACATTATATTGACAGCAAAGGTATGCATTATTGAGGCTAATTTTCCATTTGTAACATACAGCTGTGAAAGCTGGACCATGAGAAAGGTTGAACAAAGAAAAATTATGACTTTGAATCATGATGCTAGGAAAATATCCTGCATTGTAGAAGAATAAATCATTCAATTTTAGATAAAGTAAACTAGACTGCTCATTGGAAACTAATAAAGAAGCAAACACTTAGATATGTTGGAACATAATGTGAGAAGACCTTGAATGTTTAGAAAAAGCCAGTTGAACAAGATGCTGACAGAAAACAAGTTAAATAGATAATACCACCGATGACACAAGCTTAAACTTATAAGATGATTCTTTGATTATATGAAGAATTCAAGGAAATAATATCCATTGGGTCAAAAAGATTAAAAAGTGACTGAATAATAATAATTTTAGGATGCAAAAAACTTCAGTGTAAGAGGAAAGGTAAGTCAATTACCAATTCACTTATGTACCAACAAGGATGGAAAATACATTATCAAAACACTCATGTATGTGATGCATGTTTTATTAAACCTTAACTGAATTCTAAAAGTATTCCTTCCTGTTTCATATTCCCCAAATGCATTAAGACCAATTCTCAGAATTACCTGGGAACTGCTGAGGTTTTGTTCCCAACACATCAGAACAGGTCATATTGGGAAAGCTATTTTTCAATCTTGTACATCACAGGTTAGCCCCAAGAGGGATCACAATTTTGCTGGTGGTTTCTTGTGCACATTTAATCAGAAGTAAAGTTAGCAATGTAAATCAATATTTATGATGGTTTTGTGAGCCGCTCAGATTTGTGACATATAAAATGGGTGGCCATACAGGTATTTTAAATTCATACAGTACATAGAAGCATACAATTTTCTCACTTTATGAATATCTGGCATTTTGATTAGTAATTAAAGGATTGTTCAACTGTGACTGAGTTTTTTCTCATGGACCAGCATGTTTAAATAACTTTTGGTATTAAAAATATTTTTTTATTTTTTATTTTATCATATCTCTATACTAATGGAATATTGCCTATCTGCCATACGAAGCTAAATGGAATAATAAAATTGTACAAATACCTCATGTGACAAATAGAAAGCAGCTATTCCCAATGGCCAGAAACAACAGAGCATGGAGAACACACTAAGTCCAAGGTGATCCCTGGGAGGCATCATAAGGAAATGGTCCTCACTGTCAGTGTCACTTGAGTAATCACTCTGAAACAGCAAGAGAAAAAGACCATGAAGTAAATAAGTCACTGGCAAGACTAGCCCTTTCTCTCTGCATCAGGCATACCTATGATCCATTTTCTTTAAAAGGCAACACAGAATTTTCTGGCTGAAATTATGTATAAGAGATATTTGTACTCTTCTGCAATGAAAGAACATTTTAGAAGAATCACATTTTTTAAAAAAAATTCTGTTGGGATGATATTAGGAATTACTTTAGAACAGCTAACGTTTCATTTCTTAAAATTATGATGGAGGGACATCCTGTTCTGCAACATAGTGACCACAGGGAGAACACAAAATCTTGCAGCAACAGCTTTTAAAAAGAAGGAAATCATCACGAGTGCCGTAACAGTAAAAAGTCATCCTACTCTATTTAAGAATGCTGAAACCTATCCCCACCACCGGTATTATGGGGTGATTTGTGATGGTTGTGACATTTTTGCTTATCTAAATCAGCATGTGACCAGAGTTATGTGGGTTCACATCAAGGAACACGTCTACTTGTATATATGCCTTGGCACACACACTTGTATGTGTGAAGCCTTCCATTTTGCAAGCATTCTCTGTATATACAAAAGCAATAAAGTGGGTCAAGCCAAGAGATATGCCTTTGTCATTAGAATTATTTACTCGGCTCTGCTCACATTTTAAGTCTGAATGGATCTTCTGAAGATAGTTAAAGTACAACTCATAAGAAAAGGCCAAATGCCAAACAACATTTAATTTGCTAGGGGAAAGATTACAATACCAGATGCCTCTCATCTACGAAATAAATTTTTTTCCCAGCTTTGTCAGCTGGCAACTACAAAAAAAGAATCCATTAAAAATCAAATAGACTAAATGAGTAAAACATAAAATATATTTTGGCCAACAACCCAAACAATAGTAAATAGTAAACTTATGTGGGGTTAAGATAATAATTCATCTATGTAATGTGGAAAACTCTTACATTCAAAACAATGTTTTAATGAAATCCTTGCACTGTGGCTATAACAGTATTTGACCAGATATTGAGGTAGATGAGATTGGAAGGAGATGATAGTGAGACACTGAGATGCTCAGATATTTGAATTCAATTCAACCTGACTGATGATTAATAGTGAAAGAGGCACTAGCAAAACAACAAGGCTAGGGAAAAGTCAGAGAAGCTAGATCTAAACTAGAAATACAGCAGTCTAGCCTTGTTTAAGGGAAAAGCAGTAATATAAAATAGTGGTATGATACAAATCCAGCCACCATCTAGACTACATATATTCTTATCTCTACTCCTACGTTTATTGGCCAACTACACAATTTCACTCAGTGTATTCAATTTCATTTCACCTTAAGGAGCATCCGGGAGGAATACCTTGAGTTTAATATTCTTACAACTCCACAAAACTGCCAGACTCTAGGCGTTTTACAATAATAAATATACAATAATAATACTAATATAATTAAAATATTCTAATGTCAATATTGGTGGCTCTGTAATCAACTCCTTCAGAAGAGCCAGGTCTTTTACCAATTTCTGTAATGTAGTAAAAAATGGAAACCAGAGGGCAGGGGGTCTGGAGGGCAGGTTGTTACATAGGAGGGGAGCCCTCAATAAAAAGACCCCACCATCAACCCCCCCTTCTATAGTACCTTTGCTAGATGGTAACATTTATATGTGAACTCAGGCCATCCCAGCCAGGAAAGCAAAATTTATTTGGGAAAGGTGCTTTTATTTCTGAAGATCCAAGCCATATGGTTTTAAAGGTCAGCAGATTTTATACTGAACTTGGACTGGAATCCAGTTCCTATCCCCAATCTAGGCTCAACAATATCAAGTACTTTTGCTTATTCCTTATTATGCTTATGCATTATAAATCTTAACAAAATGCCTTGGAACGCATAGAACAGCTTTGCTTTCAAATGCAATTGTCCTATATCTCCCACAATTCCAAGTATTAAGGTTAATTGATTTGATTAGGATTATGGGCTCTGCATTGGGGAAGGCTAATGAAGAACAATCTACAAGATTTTGGTTTGGATTGATAAACCACAGGAATATCTAATGGACTTGCCAAAAGTGGACTTGTACCACTTTTAGGATATGGCAATATTCGAGTACCACTAGTTGCCTAGCAAGGTATCAAAAACTTGATGACCAAAAAAAAAAAGGGAAAAAGTGATAAAGAACAAGTAGTCCTCGACTTACAACAGTTCGCTTAGTGACTGTTTGAAGTTACAACAGCACTGAAAAATGCGACTTATGACCATTTTTCACACTTATGACCATTGCAGCATCCCTAGTGTCACGTGATTTACATTTGGATGCTTGGCAACTGATTCATATTTCTGATGGTCATAGTGCACCAGGGTCATGTGATCACCTTTGCAACCTTTTGACAAGTAGTCAATGGCCGGAGGGCGTGGCCAACTCAACATCACTCAGGTTTGGGGGTGACTGGGGGGAGGCAGGGGGCTGTGGGGGGGATCTGGGGGTCTCTGTTGGGGGAGGATGGGACTGAGGTGGGCATCGGGGCATGGTCCACCTGAGGAGCCTTGCAGTCCCTCTTGGGCCACGCAGGGGACTCCCAGACGGTGGCACAGGCTGCCCAGAGCCCTGGGCAGCAGAGAGCAAGCACCCAGCCCAGCCCTCAAGCTCCTGAGCACTAAGACCCTGCAGCTCAACCCAGTCCAGCCCCACTTCCCTGAGGGGCACCCAGCTGTGCTTACCTCCTCCTCAAGGCTGCTGCTGCTGTGCTCACTCTCCTTGGCCACGTTGCTCATGGTGGATGCAGGAGGGCAAAGTGTGTGGGTCAGAGGGAGGCCCACTCCCTCTCCATGCAAGGAGACCCAGCTTTGTAACTAAAGCATCCTTTGCAATAGGATAGGAGACCATCAGGAGACCAGGAGGGGGCAAGGGAATGGCGAAAGGGCAGCAGGGCTGCTGGTGGCCAAGTGCTAAGGCAGGACTTCCCTTAGAGCAGTGGTTCTCAACCTGTGGTTCGGGACCCCATTTGGGGTCGAACGACCATTTCACGGGGGTCGCCAAACAACGCAGTCCACCATTTCCCCCCCTTTTCCTTAGCTGTGCTACTCCCTTTTATTCTATTGGCTTTTGAAAGCCAATAGAATAGACTCTCTTGAATAGTCTAATTCTATTGGCTTTCAAAAGCCAATAGAAATTGTCCAGGCTGTCTCTGCCCTGCTGAGCCCACCAAAAGTCCCATTCTGCAAACGGTGCTGCACCAGTTGAGTAGTCCTCGACTTACGACCGGTTGAGTAGTCCTCGACTTACGACCGGTTGAGGGTCGCGGCATTAAAAAGGTTGAGAACCACTGGCTTAGAGCCTCCCTCCCTCTCATTATAATCTTCTTCCTCCCTCTCTCCCCCTTCTCATTCCCATCTCCTTCCTTCCTTTTTCCCTCCCTGCCTCCCTCCTTCTCATTTCCTTCCTTCCTTCCTTTTTCCCTCCCTGCCTCCCTCCTTCTCATTTCCATCTTCCTTCCTTCCTTCCTTCCTTCCTTCCTTCCTTCCTTCCTTCCTTTTTCCTCCCTGCTTCTCATTCCCATCTCCTTCCTTCCTTTTTTCCTCCCTCCCTGCCTCCCTCCTTCTCATTCCCATCTCCTTCCTTCCTTCCTTCCTTCCTTCCTTCCTTCCTTCCTTCCTTCCTTCCTTCCTTCCTTCCTTCCTTCCTTCCTTCCTTCTTATTCCCATCTCCTTCCTTTCTTTCCCCCCTCCCTCCCTGCCTCTCTCCTTCTCATTCCCATCTCCTTCCTTCCTCCCCTCCTTCCTTCCCTGCTTCTCATTCCCATCTTTTTCCTTCCTCCCTGCTCAGGAAGGGATGATGGGAGGGGGAAGAGACTGTCAGTGCTGCCAGTGGCCATGCTGCTGCCGGGCACAGCTATTCCACACGGACAGGGGAAGTCCCGATGAAAGGGAAGGCTCGGGGCTGGGAGGCTAGATCAGCAAGCGGGTGTGGCGCTGATCTACAACCTGGTGGCAGCCATTGAAGGCGGAACATGCTCAGCCTTAGATCCAAGGAGCAGCCCTGGAGTCAGCGGGGGGCCGCCCCGCCATCTCTGCCCTGCCCCCTGGATGTGCACATAGGAGGCAGCGAGTGTGGAGCGCTGGCATCCTGGGGGAAAGGGAAGTGCTTCTCCTGCCTCTTTTCTTTCTGAGCGGTCAGCAGGGACAGTCAGCAAGGATGCCGGGTGCTTGCCACCTCCTGTGCGCATGCTCAGGGAGCGGGGCAAGGGCAGCCCCTTGCTGGCCCTTTCCCGCCAAAATCTTCTTTTAGATCCTCTCCTCTCTCCCCCCTCCTCCTCTTTTCTCTTCAGGACACCTCCAGTTTCTGGAAGCACCAATCAGCTGAAGCCTGGCGCTGATCCTGGGGATTCTGCTCAGATCCATAGCCCTGCAAAACTACCAATCAGCTTGTAACCACACGCACAAATCCTGGGGCTACTGCTGAGCCCCGACAACCCTGCAACTGCAGCTCTTTCTCCATCAGGTTTCTGCAATGCTGCCGCCACTTCAGCTCATTCCCCTCCCCTGCTTCCACTTGCCGCCACTTCAGCTCATTCCCCTCCCCTGCTTCCACTTGTCTAGGATGGTCGCATACCACCAGCCACATCTGAAAAGCCCTGCTATAGAAGGTATCTGAGTGATATTAAGAAAAAACTCTTTTTATGACCCTGAAATCCCTTATTTTGGAGTACAGTCAGGATAACTGAATGAAGCTGAGCATTTACTGGCTGGATGCCTTTCCTGACGCCATGTGAAGTTTGCAGTCAATATTTTCTCTTTGCTCCCTCAGAGAGAAATATCTGCCACTACCTAGGATTGAACTCTCAACCTTAAAAGTGGAAGGCTAATGTCTTCTCCTCTAGGCTACCACCCCATTAGAATAGGAACAAAAATAATGTAAAACAAGTGTATCAGATAAATCCCAATAAGGAAGGAAATTTAGAGTGCAAATTAAAGAGTTCTGATCAATATTTCAAAATGATACAGCTCTTGGGATACGCTGCTGACAATGACAATGTCAAACCCAGCATCTTTTTTTTAAAAAAGTAACTTGAAGCTATACATCAGTTGCCAACAGACTGAAAAAAACATTATTTAAAAAACGCCCTTAGACTCCAGAGTGAAATTAATGATAGTATTGCCAAACAGGCATTTGAGAGACAGCCAGATAGAGAAACTTGAGTATTTTCTTAATTTGAAGTGATCTGAAATTCAGTTGTAAGGGACTATTTCTTTGTTTTTGAAAAAGTGAAGCTAGACAGGGACAATGAAAAAGGAAAGCAATTTCATTATCTGACCATTTGATTACTTCAGTTCAAGTAAATAAGCAGTAACTGCATCCAGTTTGAATGTACTGATTACTAGCATTTCAGCAATACCTGTGACCCTTCAAAATATATTCAACAACAATTGACTTATCACAAGTTAACCACCTCTCCCACAGACATCCGATACAATCAATTTTTATTACAGTCATAGATTAGCATTACACAAATAAAAGCATTACAAACAATAATAATAATAGTAAATAAAAATAAATAAAAGACAAAATAATATATCATGATTGGTGATGGATTATCAGTGAGCATTAGAGTCTGCCTAATTTTGCATATAGCCTAACAGAATTTGGCCACATTCAGAGAAATTACTTTGTACTGATCTGTTAACAGTTGTAGGTAGAAGAGATCAGTATTTCCCGGATATTTTATTAGGCAAGTAATAGTAGTAATAGTAGTAAAGTTGGAAGGGACCTTGGAGGTCATCTAGTCCAACCCCCTGCTCGGGCAGGAAACCCTACACCATTTCGGACAAATGGCTGTCCAGTCTCTTCTTAAAAACTTCCAGTGTTGGAGCATTTACTGCTTCTGGAGGCAGGTTGTTCCACTGATTAATTGTTCTCACTGTCAGAAGTTTCTCCTTAGTTCTAGGTTGCTTCTCTCCTTGATTAGTTTCCACCCGTTGCTTCTTGTCCTGCCTTCAGGTGCTTTGGAGAATAGCTTAATTCCCTCTTCTTTATGGCAGCCCCTGAGATATTGGAACACTGCTATCATGTCCCCCTTGTCCTTCTCTTCGTTAAACTAGACATACCCAATTCTAGCAACCGTTCCTTATATGTTTTAGCCTCCAGTCCCCTAATCATCTTTGTTGCTCTTCTCTGTACTCTTTCTAGAGTCTCAACATCTTTTTTACATCGTGGTGACCAAAACTGGATGTAGTATTCCAAGTGTGGCCTTACCAAGGCATTGAAGAGTGGTATTAATACTTCACGTGATCTTGATTCTATCCCTCTGTTAATGCAGCCTAGCACTGTGTTGGCCTTTTTGGCAGCTGCAGCACACTGCTGGCTCATATTTAGGTGATTGTCTACTAGGACTCCGAGGTCCCTATTATAAATTGAGTCTGTAAGTCCTTATAGAGCCAATACAAGCCACAATGAGCCACACCTTTATTGTTGCAATCAATATTGCAGCACAAAGGCTAGCCTTTTATACTTGTTCCAACATACAATGCAAGTAAGTCATATGGTTTCCATCAAGTAGTCACCCTTTTGTGAACACTTATCCTTTTATTAAACAGCTATCAGGAACCATCAATGCATCTTATTTCTTAATGTTTTTCATTTACATTTTTAAAATATTATTTGATTGCATCTCCCACATAGAGAGACAAAGCTGGTTTCCACTCCGGGTGGCCTCCCTGCAACATTTTAAGCTCTTTAAAGACAAGAGCTTAAGTGATAGTGATGTCCTTATATGCTTGAATGCAAGAACAGAGTACTTTTCAATTTCATGTGAATTTCATTTTTTTTTCTTTTAATTATAACATTAGCAGGATTGCATCCACAGAATGTATATTATCTTTGTATTAGTAAAAAAAAGTAATTTGGGGGTTTATTTTTGCTACTGCAAAAATATTAAAATTGAAATCCAGAAAGCACACAGACCTACAGTACTTATTTTTGTTTTGCTACCTATTATAATTTGCTCCTTTTTTGGTATTGAACTTTTTATTGGCTGGATGCTACAGTAAATGTATTTCTGAAACAGAAAAAGATCCTTGGAGCAGCTGTATAACAAAATTATTGATCGTGAAATTTGCATCTGAATAATGTTCTGGAAACAAATTGGTATTTTGGTAAGAATATCAAATCTGAAATCAAGTATGGATACCAGATATTCATTCAGGTATTGTTGAATAACATCATGCCTACCTATTATGGTTAATGGTAAGGGACCATAAGAATTGCAATGCATCAATACAGCTATCAATTTACAGATAAGAATCCCACAAAGTAAAACATTCAGATGCTAAACTAAGTGTTTACATTTTCCTGTTAGCCCATTATAAGAAAAATAATATTTTTATTATACCTTAAAGTCCAATATAGCATATGTTTCATAAGCATCACAAAAACATGCAGGTATATATCACAATAAATATTTTAGGAATAATACATCAATTTATTTATTAAATGCCCTCAATTGAAATCAATTGATTTCTATGAAATTAACTGACTTGGATTATTCTTTAAAAGCAGGAGAGGACAAAAAAAAAAATCAGGACAAAACGATAAATGATTTTTTAGCTCACATTTACTATCTATAATCTTGTCAAGATGGAATAAATCTATTGGAACAGAGCCAATACACTGTTTTGGAAAGCACAATCCTTCAGAATATGCTGGCAATGATAGAGCCAAACTCAACAATGGGCATGGCCAGAATCTAACGTAAGAAAGCCACTTCTGTTTATTTAATCCTAACACATCAGACTGCTGGGGTTGAGATTAATTCCTCCTGCTAGAATATTTGACATAAGGTCAACAAGTATGCTTAGCTCTTGAATTGTTTCCCACTCCTAATTTAGGTATACAGTATTTCATAAACCCAAATAAAGGATTTAGATTTTAAAAAGCAGCTGTTAGAGAAACATCTAACAATATTTTACTTTACAGTATTCACAATATTAATTACATCCTATAGATTTGCTTCAATAGTTGTGTTGGAACTGAGCTTTTCAATATAGCACAATGGCTATAAAGCTACATTTTGTCACAAAAACAACATGGCACTTCTTATGCTGCTTCAGAAATGTCTGAATCTTTCTATTCTATTCCATATTGTGCTCTGAATTATACAATTTATTCTTTTTACATTTTGGTATATAATTTTTGCAGTTTTAAGAGGCGAACCAACTAAATAAACTAACAGTTTTGGATATCTTAAAGGCTGATTCACACTTATGAGCACATCAGCTGACTTATTTTAATTTCTTCCTATGAACCATGAAGTACATAATAAGATTGGTCAATTTCTTCTATTAGCTGCAGAAACCTCCTAAAATCTTGGTCCCAGGAAGCATTTCTTATGTTCTAAGTATCTGTATATCTCAGAATTATTCCAGAGATTTGCCCTATCTATACTGATTTTATACATTTCCATGAAAACAGTCACATAAACATATAAGAAACCTATCCAAATAGTTTTTAGAGCAGCGGTTCTCAACCTATGGGTCGCGACCCCATTTGGGGTTGATTGACCATTTCTCGGAGGTCGCCAAATAAGGCGATCCGCCATTTTTCCCCCTCAGGGGGTGCCGCCGCGCATGCGCGCCGCATATGGGGGCATCACCGCGCATAGGGGCGTCACCACGCAGGGGGGCGCTGCCGCGCATGCGCGCTGCACATGGGGGCGCCGCCGTGCATGCGCAGCACGTTTGTGTGACGGTGGTCGCCATCACACAAACGTTGAGAACCACTGTTTTAGAGGATGAAAGGTATAGCTTGTAGCTTATTATGAGCCATGGTGACACAATGGTTAAAATAGAATACTGCAGGCTACTTCTGCCAGCTGCCTACAGTTTGGCAGTTCGATTTTCACCGGCTCAAGATTGACTCAGCCTTCCATCCTTCTGAGGTCAGTAAAATGAGGACCTTGATTGTTGGGGGCAATATGCTGACTCTGTAAAACCACTTAGAGAGGGCTGTAAAAGCATTGTGAAGTGGTATATAAGTCTAAGTGCTATTGCTATTGCTATCATGTAAACCATACCTGATGCAACCTTTTTATTTGCAAAGTTACAGGAGCTCTGCACCTATCATGTTGGCCACTGCATGTGTTAAAAACAACTTTCTCACCTTTATTTCTGTCCCAACCATCATCCAGCAAACAGGGCAGTATTTCCTGAACTTCTACAATCAGAAGAACCCGTTCTTTCTAAATTAACACTGTCTACACAATAGATTCTTGCATCCTAAAAGGTTCAGCCTGGACAGAAACACCTCATTAATTAGAGTTTCCTGCCCACACTTCCCAATTCTGAATTTGGCTTCTGATGAAAATGAAGTCAACCAGGCAAACTAGGGATCATCTTTGTATATGGATCCTTTTTCTCTCTGCTTTGGGACTACTTGAATGGTGCTGTTACACCTGTTGCAACAAAGGAAATGAAAAGGAAGAGTGACAGTGATTTATCTAATTTAACAAGCCGTTTCTATGGGTGGGCATTATTTCATTATTTACATAATGTTAACACAATTAGCAAGTTTTTAAACGGAACAATTTATCCTATCATATTATTTGCAATTGACGATATACCAAGAAAACTTCCCTGACCTCTAGTTCTTGGAAGTCATCGTCTTCGTCATCTTCTTCTTCCACATCATAGGAGAGGGTCTGGATCTTAATCTCATCTGTGGATAGACTGACAAATTTGCCTTCAGGATAATCCAGGCAGCCTTTGGTGGGTGACTTGTTTTCAATAAAGGTTGTTTCACAGCATTCTGCACTCAGGCTTTCTCCCCATGATCGTAGCACGCTCTCTGAATAGAGGATGATGTTTGGATGATAGCGGGGTTCTACTGTCTGTGGTAGAGTACTAGGGTCAAGAAGCTGTTGTATTGGGTCATTTGGGGGATAGAGAGTCCCAACTGGTCGACCCTGATACTGAGCAGTTGGATACACAGATACCAAGCCCTCCCTGTTTTCCGCCATTAAGTTTCTTGTGTTAATCAATCCATTCTTCTTCTGGGTGTCAATTGCCTTATTATGCTTTCTAAGCACATCTTTCTGCTTAACTAAGCCATCCATCCTGGATTCTTTTCCTCTATTGTCTCAATGAATTGTCATTCGTCTGATAAACATCACATAGAAAAAAAAACTAATCCATTTTCCTGAGGAAGAGAAAGAGAGAGAGAGAGAGAGAGAAGATTCATTACAGAAGAGAAATGAGCATCAACCTTTATGCTGATCTTAAGATCTCTTAAGAGCTGAAAATAAATTTAGCGCTTGGTACAAATGTTTGTTGTTAATGAACTGAAGATAGTGCTGAAAATTATTTCACAACAGAGACATTTTTTACATCATTGGACAGTTAATGCAGCGTAAGGTCTAAGAGCCAGAGAAGTGACCCATGAAGCATCTGGCTCAAATCACCCCTCTTAACCAGGCCTTAGATAAGCTAATATCCTTCAGACATTCTTATATATACAAAATAATACTCACATTTAGAGATATTATAAGATATAAAATAAAGGAATATATTTGCAAAAGGTAGAATACAAACATTCCATCAAATGCTGTCCTCCTTTTAAAAAAAAAGTATTTCAACTCACTAATTCATTTTACAGACTTAACACTATTAATAATTCTGACAAAACAAGTTAAACAGATGACTTTTACAGTTATTTTATGAATAACTACATTCAAAGAGTTCAAGAGCAAGGATGGGGCCAAAATTCTCCAACATTATTACCATCAATTCCTTTGAGGATTTCTAATTATAGGGTTTCAGAAGTGACTACTGTACTTAAATACTTAAGTCCTTGACTTCAAGGAACAAACAATTTTTAATTTAATTGGTTAAAAACTCATTCCACTTAAAAGAGTGAACATTAATTGTATCTCCAATGATATCACTGCAGGAAAAAAACAGGGTAGTAGACTTTGGTCTGGAGCAGCTCATAAATGCAGAAGCTGAAGACAGCATAAATCCTACACAGTTTAATACACTTTTTTCAGCAGGCACAGCATCCTCCCATGCTTTAGTACAGCCAACACATCATTTAATACAGTGTTTCCCAAACTTGACAATTTTAAGGCATGAGGACTTCAACTCCCAGAATTCCACAGCCAGCAACGCTGGCTGTGGAATTCTGGGAGTTGAAGTCCACATGCCTTAAAATTGTCAAGTTTGGGAAACACTGATTTAATATAAAAAAGCGTACTTATTCACATTTGTATAAAAAAAGAATATAGTAAAGCAAATATAGTAAAGAACTAATGTTTATATTGAATAAAGGACATATTTCATGGGCACAGATTTGGTACTACAACTATGGAATCTACCCAGAATTTAAAAGTAATTTTCAGGCTTAGGAGCTGTCTGAGTCCCAATATGGAATTCTTTCCCTTTTCTCCATTTTTCAAAGAAACCAATTTAACTCTGCTTACAATCAACCCAAATAGTTTTACTCTTCCATAGAGCTGGAGCACTACTCTTTGCTTTTCAGAATAGGGCTTTTTTCTGTTGACTTCCAGGATGTTCCCTGCTTACCAGGTACATCTTGCAGTCATTTCCCCCCCCCCCCCCATCCAATCCAATCCCTCTTACATGTCTCAAAATAAGGCCTTTTAAATAGGAACAGTATTCTGAAATAGGATTCTGAAATGATTAAACTTTTGTTTTCCTGGCCATAAGAGAGGCTGTTATGGTTTATGTGCCATGAGGCATGTTCTACTCAGGAAGCAAAGATATTTTTTTGGCCAGCTGGGATGAATGTGTCAGGAAATGCACTGCCTAGCTGGTCAATGTCTGGCAGATCATGGAGTGCCCCTTTAATACAAAGACAGATTGCAGTTAACTGTTAAGAAAAAAATTCTAACAGCAATCAACTGTGGAGTCAATAAAGTCAGAGAGGTGATGGGCTGCCCTTTGCAAATGTGTTCCAATGGGAACCATCCTTGCTGATGCTTTGGTTTGAATTCCAGTACTACATTGGAGGGAGGTGGGGTTGAATTATAGCCACTCTCCCAAACTAATTCAGAAATATTATCTTTTTGTTCAATATTTGCTGTCAGCTAGCTTAAGCTTTGCACAAAATTATTTTCTTAGCCCAGGAATAAGCAGGAAATAATCAGAGTATATGGCTTTCAGAAAAGAAATGTAGGGATAGGGTCACAGTAAAAAGATGAGCTATGAATGAATATATTAAATATATATATTTAATATATACATTTAAATATATATATATACATTTAAATAAATATATATATATGTAAATATGTGTGTGTGTGTGTGTGTGTGTATATATATATATATATATATATATTTGTTTTCTGAGGTTTTCGCGGGTATTTGTATGTAGGTCTTTGGTTGTTCGGGTTTTCTCCCACGTAAAATTGGAAGTGTCTTGGCGACGTTTCGACGAAGTCCCATTCGTCATCTTCAGGCTGGTGCTTTCAGCTTCGTGCCTCGAGCAGCAGTGTGTGGTCTTGGCTGTTTCTTCCTTTTAACTGCCAGTGGAGGTATGAACTGATTGGGTGGGAGCTTGGCTGTGTTCTGATTGGGTGGAGGTGTGTTCTGATTGGTTAGGGGCTTGGCTGTGCTCTGATTGGCTGGGGGGTTGGCTGTGCTCTGATTGGCTGGGGGGTGGCTGTGCTCTGATTGGCTGGGGGAGTGTTCTGTTTGGTTGTGCTCAGGTTAGTCTGAGTTGCAGAGGGATTCAAGATTTTGGGCTGCCCTGCCATTCCTTGGCTTCGCGTTCGTGGTCGTGCTTCCTCTTCATGGAGGGTGTCAGTTTGCTTCATGTATGGATTGGGGGGGTTTAAAGTGGCTAATGATGCAGCTGTGGTCTGGCTTCTGGTTTGTGGTCGTGCCTCATAGTCAGTGTGGCTTTGGGTTTGTTTTTTGCGTGGATGTTTGGTGGTGACATCCTGTGTGGTTTTTGTGAGTGTGGGTCTGGTATCATTTTTTGTGTTAGGGAGTCGTTTGTCAATGAGGGCGGTTTCCAAATGGCTGGTAGGCGGGAGGTATCATCTCGCTTGTTCATGCTGTGTGGGCGTTTTTCTATCTCGATGGCTTCTCTGATTATTCTGTTATTAAAAACGCCCACACAACATGAACAAGCGAGATGATACCTCCCGCCTACCAGCCATTTGGAAACCGCCCTCATTGACAAACGACTCCCTAACACAAAAAATGATACCAGACCCACACTCACAAAAACCACACAGGATGTCACCACCAAACATCCACGCAAAAAACCAACCCAAAGCCACACTGACTATGAGGCACGACCACAAACCAGAAGCCAGACCACAGCTGCATCATTAGCCACTTTAAACCCCCCCAATCCATACATGAAGCAAACTGACACCCTCCATGAAGAGGAAACACGACCACGAACACGAAGCCAAGGAATGGCAGGGCAGCCCAAAATCTTGAATCCCTCTGCAACTCAGACTAACCTGAGCACAACCAAACAGAACACTCCCCCAGCCAATCAGAGCACAGCCAACCCCCCAGCCAATCAGAGCACAGCCAACCCCCCAGCCAATCAGAGCACAGCCAAGCCCCTAACCAATCAGAACACACCTCCACCCAATCAGAACACAGCCAAGCTCCCACCCAATCAGTTCATACCTCCACTGGCAGTTAAAAGGAAGAAACAGCCAAGACCACACACTGCTGCTCGAGGTACGAAGCTGAAAGCACCAGCCTGAAGATGACGAATGGGACTTCGTCGAAACGTCGCCAAGACACTTCCAATTTTACGTGGGAGAAAACCCGAACAACCAAAGACCTATATATATATATATATATATATATATATATATATATATATATATATATATATGGTACAAATAAAATTCGAACACCAGGAGAGTATAAATATAAAAATATACTTTACTAAAAGCTGCCAAGCTTTCGTTTGGAAACTCCAAACATCATCAGGGCTAAGGAGCCAGTAAACAATGATGACTTAAATGGGTTTTGCCGGCATCTGCACCCGGCTCATGGACCGCGTCACCGGTCCCGGCCGGTTAATTAGTGTTCCAGATGTTTCTTTCTTACTCTCCTTACGCTTCCTTCTATGGTTCTTCCGGATCATTCCTTCCACTATCTCATTACTGGTATTCATCTCCTCCACCACCCCTTTATCCTTATTTCCTTCCATAGCACTGACCCTCCTCCCCTTTTTGTTTTCATTCTCCACCCTGGGGGCATCTGTTTCTCCTCTATCAGTGTTACATCAGTGCCGGCAAAACCCATTTAAGTCATCATTGTTTACTGGCTCCTTAGCCCTGATGATGTTTGGAGTTTCCAAACGAAAGCTTGGCAGCTTTTAGTAAAGTATATTTTTATATTTATACTCTCCTGGTGTTCGTATTTTATTTGTACCATAGACATGCCCAGGAGTCGTATTTTTATGCAAATTTTCCAATATATATATATATATACATACATACATACATACATACATACATACATACATACATACACATACACATTGCTTACTGGTGTACACCGCTTAGAGAGTGCTTGCACTTAAAGCGGTATATAAGTCTCATAAATAAATAAATAAATAAATTAAGTAAATGAATAACTTAAAAAATTGGCTGTCTCTGGAAGTTGCCAGATAGAACTTCCAACAGATTAGGCAGAAGAGCTTTTAAGTTTTAACAAATAATTATTCCATTTCAATTTACCTCTGTAATATTGAGCAAAAAATAGTAATGAATTATAAAATTAAAAATAAATACCGGTACTGATAATAAAGTGTTTTAAGAGCTTTATTAAAATTATTAATAGCTTTTCCCATAGGTTACACATACTGTTTATTGATCTTTTTCATTTTATGGCTTAGCAAATCCTGGTACTGGTCTTACTGATAATAATTTTCATTAGAAATAGACAAGCTTATTAAAAGATTTATAAGCAGGCTGTAGAACTTCAAAAATTTAAATATTAAAAAATCCAGCTGAAAATATGTTTTCCAAGAATTTGTAAGGCTACAACACAACTATCAGGGCTACTTGAGGAGCAATTTACTTTCCTTTTTGGGAAATCTCCTTGTGGGGAGATTATTTTAATTCAGGATTGTGTTTGGTTAAATGTGATATAGATTAATAGTCTTACATGAAATCAGGTTCCAATTGGATTATTGTTATTAACTGGTATCTTACTAATATGGTAATAAAAATTAAAACATATATAAATACTAAAGCAAATATTTCATCTGCTGAACTAAATTAACATTTACAAAGTATTTTAATTGCTTTAAATATACACATGAGAAGAAAAATTTCTATTACAATTTGTAAATGACAATGGATTTCATAATCAGTTTTAAGTCGTTATTCAATGAACAAATAGCAACATTTTAGAAGACTATGTTGAAATGGACTACCCATATTTGTTTCTAGCATTGCATCCATGACCAATATTACTGTGTTACAAGTACCTTAAAAAGCAGTTCAGCTATACAATTTGCCGGTTCTACATTTTATGGTACATTTATGCGACTTTAAAACTATGTTATATCAAAGCAAAGGTACTTGCTAGATGTTTCAAAACACAAAGGAGATGTCTTCAAATATTGTTGCTACCCCCACTATCTGGGATTCATAGGCACTCTGCTTTAGAAATCCCAGTCTCAGGTATTGGCTAGCGCAGGGGTAGGCAACCTTGGCTCTTTTATGACTCGTAGACTTCAACTCCCAGAATTCCTGAGCCAGCCATGCTGGCTCAGGAATTCTGGGAGTTGAAGTCCACGAGTCATAAAAGAGCCAAGGCTGCCTCCTCTGGGCTAGTGAAAGGCTAACTCTCCATGATTTTTTCTCAATCCCCAGTTTCCATCATAACCTTGCAGTAATACTTTCCACAAACGTATTGTATACGTCATGAAGAAGAACATTATTGTCTGTTCTGTATTTACTACTAAAGTAGATAATGAAAGACAGAAATAATAGTATAATTTGAACATCACTCTCTATCCTACACAGAAGGAAAATGAAGAACAAATTGGAGATTATATTTAGATATTCTCCAAGGCGCCTGAAGGCACGACGAGAAGCAACGGATGGAAACTGATCAAGGAGAGAAGCAACCTAGAACTAAGGAGAAACTTCCTGACAGTTAGAACAATTAACCAGTGGAACAACCTGCCTCCAGAAGCGGTGAATGCTCCAACACTGGAAGTTTTTAAGAAGAGACTGGACAGCCATTTGTCTGAAATGGTGTAGGGTTCCTGCCTAAGCAGGGGGTTGGACTCGATGACCTCCAAGGTCCCTTCCAACTTTATTATTATTATTATTATTATTATTATTATTATTATTATTATTATTATTATTATTATCATTATCATTATCATTATTATTAATTATATAAGGAACGGTTGCTGGAATTGGGTATGTCTAATTTAATGAAGAGAAGGACGAGGGGGGACCTGATAGCAGTGTTCCAATATCTCAGGGGCTGCCACAAAGAAGAGGGAGTCAAGCTATTCTCCAAAGCACCTGAAGGCAGGACAAGAAGCAACGGATGGAAACTAACCAAAGAGAGAAGCAACCTAGAACTAAGGAGAAACTTCCTGACAGTTAGAACAATTAACCAGTGGAACAACCTGCCTCCAAAAGCGGTGAATGCTCCAACACTGGAAGATTTAAGAAGAAACTGGACAGCCATTTGTCCAAAATGGTATAGGGTTTCCTGCCTGAGCAGGGGGTTGGACTTGATGATCTCCAAGGTCCCTTCCAACTTTATTATTATTATTATTATTATTATTATTATTATTATTATTATTATTATTATTATTATATTGGGGGAGCTATTTCCAATTTATAAATATAAATAAAATATTTTCAAAAATGTTCATTTTGGATATTTTAAAACTACCTAAGGCACTGAGATCAAGGAAAAACAGAAGCCAAAGAATTTTACTAGGCTACATGCTAAACAACCTGTCCTTTATTTTCTTCCATGCTAGAAGAAAACCTTTAAAACAAGAAATCAAAGAACAGGGAGCTAAGACCTGGTCCAACCCACCCTACTAGACCTTATTAAGTGAGAAATAGTACAATGTTCTGTTATATAATAATTTACCTAATACACATTGAAATACTGCAGCCATTAATGCCATTAAAATGTCTCATTTTATTTTTATAATGTCTCACCAATTAGATGTTGCAAGGTATTTCTAAAAAGTATCATCCACACATCACCCAGCATTAATAATATTTCATATATTTGTTGTCGATCATTCATTTTTTGTGAATACTTCAAATTTAGATACATTTACATTAATTTAATTTGAATGATAAGGATTCCTTGTTAAATAATTGGTCAACCGCAAATTATCAATTTCTGTTCTATTTATGCAAGAATTTTTTTTTTAAATGCTCAACTGTTAATTCTGCACAGAAGACTATGTACATGACTGTGAACCATTCAGGAGCTGCTGAAATCTACATCTCACGCTTTTTCTTTTTGAATATGTCTTTTTCATATACCCAAGGTATATTTATGCAGAATATAGTAGGTTGGTTTCAAATAAAGATTCTTCAATTCTCAGTATATTTGCAACAGAATCTTAACTATTCCTTCATTTGTAAATAGCATAGGTTACTTGAGGGACATCCTGTCTCTCATAAAATTTACCTTGTGGATTTGATTCTGCAGAGTTGGTGTGATCCGGGTTCTTTTGATTAAATAATGTCATCTCAGAAACATGCCTTCTGTTTAGTGTTGCCTGCCCTCAGGGGCGAGGTCTGCCCCCCCCCATTCTGCTGTTGTTTAAAAGAGCCATAAAAACCTGGCTCTCCACCCAGGGCTTTGGCAAGGAAGAGTGAAAGCCTTCATTTCATTGTGCTTGCCATTTTTATTTTTTAAGTTTTTATTGCAATTTTTTTGTTTTATTATTATAAGCCATCCAGGGTCATTGAGACTTGGGCAGCATACAAGTTTAATAAATCATCTTTACCATTATCATCCACTGGCTTATAGTAATCATAGTGCTCATGATTTTTGTTTAATTATCAAAAAGAACAAGACATTATCAAAACATTTGATTTGCCTATTGAGGAAAGTCATTTTTGAGTCCAGGGTTGTTCAGAATTCTGTAAAAGAATTTGTATTTCACTTACAGCCAATAAAAGCAGAAGCCTCTCCATATCATTTTTTTTTTTTAAAAAAAGAACCTATCCTTTTAAGGCATTTTATTTACCACACTGACACACCCCATTACAGACTGTATATGCCAACGATCCTCTTCCGAGAGAGAGAGAACTTTTTGGAAAGGCCTAAGTGTACAAAAATGCACTACTGGACTTTCCCCCTTTTCATCCCCCATTCCATATTTGTAGAGCTCTTTCGGGACACAGGGGTTTAGATGACTGCAATATAGAATTTCCTTTATGCAAATATCCTTATGTTAATACTACATCCATCACATCCCAACAACACTTTTATTATGCTACAGAAAAGGAACAAGTGAAGAACGGACAATTACTTTTCTTAAGAAGCCCAGATCATAGCAGAGATAAGATCTGAATGTACTATTTCTCATTTACAGTTTGATTTGTCACTAAGTAAGCTATGCTGATTCCTATGCACTAAAAGTCAAGATTTTCTTTACTAATCAACTACTATAACCCAGTAAATAAAGGGGAGAAAAGAGATTGATACTGACATCAGAAGCAATAGGCAAATTATCACTTTGAATAGTTTTACCAAATCTGGGTACTATTTTTAAGTTTCTCCTATGGGCCAAAACATGCAAAACTGTTTGCATTTATAAAAAGAATAAACATTAATAAAACAGGTATTAAAATTAACATACTAAAAATTAAAATATTCCTCCCATATCAATTTGGAGCTATAATATTAAAATACTGTAATACTAAAACCAATATTGTTGCCCACATTAATTCCCTAACCAACTATATCAGAAGTATTATCTCAAACCCTGACTTCCCCACCTCAAAACAAATAAAGCAATCTAGATATGCAGTAAACACAATAAAATATGAATTAAAAGTCTCCAATTTGGAAGGTAGTCCCTGAATGTTAAGAATTCAATTCTAATAACATAGCTATCTTTACAGAAATCTAGAAATAACAGAGAGGTTAAACTTACATCAAAACGTCTATTTTTCAGCATTTATTTAATCTAAAACATACTTACAAGTTAACCACAGTCTTTGGCATATATCACAATACCCTCTCTACCCCAGGAATGCAATGAAGCTCCAAGAGGACAGCCCTTAGAGCCTATTGAAAAATTGCCACTGAGGTAAATTTCAATTTGAGAGAAATCATTTAAATTTATGGGATAAATAATATTAAGTATACTGAATTTTTAATTCAATTCAGTTTAATCGGTTTTGCTTTTGTTTCTGGAATGGTCCCCCAGCCGAAAATTACGTGTGTTTTCTTCAGCCAGCCCTCAAGCCACTCCACATTTCTTTCTTATATTGCGTCATCTACCGTATGTACAGCTTCCGAAATGTATATTGTATGAGTTATTTGGATAAACTGATATGACATATTGAGGACCAAGAAGAAGGAAAGAACCTAAGGTGCATCTCCTGTATTATTTCTCTAAGCAATGCAATGCAGAACTGGCGCATCTCGGCAACAAAGTCTTGTGCGTAGGAAAGACCACAAGCGCAAGCAACTTTCTCTGGCTGGACGAGCGCTCAGGTCCAGAAGCACACAGTCGCTCTTACGCGAGGAGAAGCCAGGTGGGACTGAGAATCCGGAACTCCACGGGCGAGCACGTGCCTGGCATGCAGAGTCCCAGGTATGACGATCCCGAAAGATCGAGGGCGAAGCCCAACTAGGACAGCCTCTTTCTCCGAAAATCTGGCGCTGGGCTACAAATCGAAGATGGGCAGCTCCCTAACCCTGTCGAAAGGAAGGCGAGTTCGCGCTTTATCCCGCCGCACTTCCGACGACATTCAAGTCCCAGGCTAAAGTCCACCCCGGGAACGACCTCTCGGCCACGCCTCCGTCCTCGCTTTTGGTCCTGCGCCACTTATAAATCGCTCCAACGTGCGATAAAATAGCTCCTTCCCCGCGTTTGGAGACGTCTGGCGGACTGTGCCTCGTCGCCTTTATCTTGCCCTCCCTATGCCACAATTCTATGCTGGGACTCACCTCCGGACGACGCAGCAGCATAGGGGGGGGGAAGGTGACCTCAGGCGTCTCCGTCGAATTTGGGACGGCGGCAGGACCTCCGGAAAGAGGCTGTTTTTCCAAGTCCGCCTGCCTCCCTGCCTCCCCGCTGGCCTCTTACCTAAAACGCCCTGGACAGAAATCAAAGCAGCGAGTTTGGGGCGCGAAGGGAAGAGGAGCCGAAGCAACAGACGGTGGTACCACGGAGGGGTGGGCTGTAGCCGGCGAGGTCTCGCCTCGTGGTGGCGGGAAAAAGACACGGAAGGTCGGAAAAAGCGGCGGAGAGAAGGAACCGTACCATCTGCGGTTGCTGCCGCCACTGCCGCCGCCCGTCCACCATAGTGCGGACTTGGACTGGGAGCCGATGCCGGCGCTGCAGCCCTAGGCGATCGAGCAGCAGCGGGTTTTCCAAGCTTCTGCTGCTATTGCAATCGCGGCTGGGCTGCCTTGACAGAAGGAATTTACAACCCTGCACAGAGAACGGGGGACACCAACACAAAGCTCCCCCCAGGTCCTAAAGAGAACTGAGAATCGCTGCTGCGTACTGCGGAAGAGAGGAGACGGCATTTTTGGCGCTCAATTAAGAGGAAACCCTCCTCCTACTCAGACCGAGGCGGAGAAGAGTGGACTCTTGTGAATCGGTACTAAGTAGCAGCGATATTCGGTGTACTTGTCGTCTTCAGTGTTTACTCCTTTTTATTATTGTTATTATTTACTGCCCTATGACAATTAGAAGCAAGCAAACGTCATTATAATCATCATTATTAAAACAATGGTTTATATTAAATTTGCAGCATTTTCAAAACCTCTAACATCGAATCCAGCAAACTAAAGTCAAAACCAGGAAACAAATGGACAACCCATGTAAAACAGAGAATAAAGATGCAACAAAAATGAAAGGCTTATGAATAAAGTAGAGTTCTTCTTCCCAAACGTAGCATGAAACAGCCTGAATGTACTTCCTTGTCTACAGACTGAGTCATCCCAGAAGGGCTAATTCAGCTGAAATAATAATAATTATTATTATTATTACTATTATTAATAATAGTAAAGTTGGAAGGGACCTTGGAGGTCATCTAGTCCAACCCCCTGCTCAGGCTGGAAACCCTATACCATTTGGGACAAATGTCCAGTCTCTTCTTAAAAACTTCCAGTGTTGGAGCATTCACCACTTCTGGAGGCAGGTTGTTCCACTGGTTAATTTTCTAATTGTCAGGAAGTTTCTCCTTAGTTCTAGGTTGCTTCTCACTTTGATTAGTTTCCACCCGTTGCTTCTTGTCCTGCCTTCAGGTGCTTTGTAAATGTTATACTGCGTACCAAAACAACTTACTATTATTTTTAAGTAAGTTTAATTAGGACCTGTAAGTTGCCCCTTTGCTGCTGCCCTCAGGTTACCCATGCCTAAATACCATATGAATCAGGTGTGTCCAACTACAGCCCACAGGCTGTATGTGGCCCTGGACAGCTAGTAATGCAGCTCTACAAGATTGTAAACTTTTAACGTTATCTGTTAAAATACAGAATAAAAGAGTTGAAAGGGACTTTGGAGTTCTTCTAGTTCAGCCCCCAAGCAGGAGACTTTTACCATTCTAGACAAATGGCTGACCAGTCTCTCTAAAACCTTCAGTGATGGAGCACCCACAATTTCTCTTTAGTTCTAGGTTGGATCTCTCCTTGATAAGCTTCTACTGTTACTTTTTTTGTCATGCCCTCCGGTGCTTTGGAGACTAGGTCAACCCCCTGTATTCTGTGATAACCTCTCAAATATTGGAAGACTGCTATCATGTCACCTCTGGTCCTTCTTTTCTAGGCTAGACAAACCCAATTCCTGCAACCGTTCTTCATATGCTTCAACATCCAGTCCCCCAATCATTTTTGTGGCTCTTCTCTGCAACTCTTTCTAGAGTTTCAACATCTTTTTTGTATTGTGGTTACCAAAAATCGATACAGGATTTCAAGCGTGGTCTTATCAGTGCAGTATAAAGCGGTATTAGCACTTCACATATATACATATATGTACATTAACTACGTTACATATGTTATATGCAACCCCAAACAATTTTCACTCAATGTGGCCCCTGGCAAGCCAAAAGGTCGCATATGCCTGATATAAATCCACCTTTCACCTCTTTTCATATTATGTGAGAGGTAGTGGATAGGAGAAAGGTAGTATAGCGGGGCTGGCCAAAAGGCTTTGCAGGAGCCTGGCTGGAGAGAGGAAGCTGGGACAGCTGCTGCCGGTTTGGGCGCAGTGGGTGTGGATCGGGCGGAAGGAAAGAAAAGGGGAAGGAGAAAGGGAGGAGGGGTGGTTGTTGTCGTGGAGAGACCAGGTGAAGTTGAAGAGTTTGGGGTTTTATGTGATTCTTTTCTTCTGAAATAGAGGGAAGGGGAGAGAGAGCGAGAAAGTGGAGTTTATTGCTTTCTTTCTCGGGGGGGGGGGTATCCCGAGCGAAGGGAAGAATGAGAGTGAAAAGAGGGAAAGCTTGGTGAGGTTTTAAATTCAGGTTTTAACTAGAAAGGAAGGGGGAGATTTGGCATAGAGAAACCTGGGACTACGAGTGCCGACAGAAGAGAAGGAGAGGCTGGTCGCTACTGCTTCAGAGATCAACGGCCATCCGACTTTGATCATTATCATCTGTGCAAGCTGTAGACATTGTGGGGGCTGCCCTCGCAGGGTGACCTGTTGCTGCAGAGCGCTGACTATCTTGGCTTGTGCTTTCCGTTGCTGCCCAGAGCCGGAGGGCCTCCCATTTTCCCAAGCGGCTGCTGCAAGCTATTGACTATTATTTTCACGACTGCTAGGGGGTTGATAAACGCTGTCACACACTGACTGCCGTGGCTAGGGGTTGGTCATCTTTGTTCCTGTAAACCCCTTTGACGCCGAGAACCTGCCACCCTTTCACTCTGTGTGAGTTCCCACTAAAAAAGACATTCTATCAATGCCGTGAGAGCGCGGTTGCTGAGCGTAACTGAAGGGGGAGGGTTAGGAGGGTCTGAGTTTTGGCAGCCTCTGAGGAGGCTGTGCTACAGTAGTATGTAAGGATCTTGCTGTTGCGGAATTTTTTCAAAATTCATCCCCTTAGAAATCCCCTCAATTGCATGTCCAGGAATCCCCCAAATAGGTATTTTATAATTTAACCTGTAATAATACTTCTTCCAAACTCGAAGTAAGGCATTTCTTAAAATATGCGATTTAAAAGCATATTCCGTATAAAGAATTACTTATTTGGTCGGGTACTGACTGGCAATTAAAATCTTTAGACGTATTAAGGCAAGAAAATATTTTACAGTCATGGTTTCAGTATTTACAAATAGTGGATAGGTGGACTTTAGATAAAAAAGTAGGAATAATATTAGGAGATGAAAATTTGGTAATTCAGATTAAAGATCAGAGTCAGGCTCATATAAAAAGAATTTATAATGCGTTAATAGAATTGGATTCGGAAACGGAATTGGTTAAAGATTGTATGGTTAAATGGGCTCAGAATATCCAGGAACCGATTCCATTGGATTTATGGGAGATAATTTGGATTAGAAATGTTAAATTTACACAGGCTTAAAATTTAAGGGAAAATTTTTATAAAATGTTTTATAGGTGGCATTTGGATCCTAAAAAGTTGTCTTGTATGTATCCTAATTTACAGCCTAAATGTTGGAGATGCGGTAGTTCTGATGCAACTTATTTTCATGTTTGGTGGACTTGTAAAACTATTAAGGCTTTTTGTATTATGATTTGGTGGAACATTCAAAAGATTTTTTAAAAGGAAGATAAAGTTTACTCCTCAACTATTCTTACTAGGGATTTTTGAGGATTTTGATGTTAAAGAAACTATTTTAATGTTGAATCTAGTAACAGCAGCAAGGCTATTGATAGATCAATATTGGAAGAAAGATTTGTTGCCTACTATAGAAGAATGGACACTTAAGGTTTTTAATTTAGCAGAAATGGCTAAAATTTCTGCTTATTTAAAGGATCGCACACAAGAAAGATATATTATGGTATGGAGAAGATGGATGGATTATATTCGAATTAAATATGGAACTAAAAAGTTCCATTTATTTTATGATTAAATTTTAAATAATAATTATTATTAATAGCATTTTATAATGGCAATTATTTAGTTTATTTATTGTTATTATGGTTCTTTATAATAATTGTTTTAAAATGGATTTGTTTATAATATTATGATATTAAGGTTTAAAGGGATTTAAGGGTTAAGTATGAATTTAGTTATTGTATAATTTGTTAAATTTAATTAGATTTTGTTTAATATGTTTGTTATAACCCTGTACTAGGCTCTGGGAAGTGAGGGGGTTGGGGGGTGGGGGTGGGTGGGCTTGTGGGTTTAAATTTTTTTTGTTAATTGTCAATAAAACTTTTTCAATAAAAAAAGGATCTTGCTGTTGCTGTGCTCTGCTTTCTAATCATCATCATAGGACAGTGTCAGACTGGAATGGACCAGGATGGAGCATGCATTTTTAAAATGCAAACTAATGCTAAAAAGACTGAAATGGTCGGGATGGAGAACTATAACCCTCTAAATCAGTGGTTCTCAACCTTTTTACTGCCGCGACCCCCAACCGGTCGTAAGTCAAGGACTAAACCAGTCGTAAGTCAAGGACTAAACCGGTCATAAGTCGAGGACTACCCAACTGGTCGTAAGTCGAGGACTATCCCTGCCCGGGAGCGCCGCGCATGCGTGGTGCTGCCCCCTGCGCCGGCTGAGGCATAGCTGGCAAGCGGCAGAGACGGAGCAGGCCGACCACCGGCTGGGCCACCAGCTGGCCCAGCCCAAAGGAGGTAAGGCACCCGCCAGAAAAGGGGAAAAAATGGCAGACAGCCTTGCTTGGCGACCCCCGTGAAATGGTCGATCGACCCCAAATGGGGTCGCGACCCATAGGTTGAGAACCGCTGCTCTAAATCAATGATTCTCAACTTGTGGTCTGTGGACCCATGGGGTCCATGATGTCATTACAGGGGGTCTGCGAAAGCTTGAAGAAATATTATGACTTAAATCTTGAGTTAAGTCTTGGAATTTCGTGGCCATGGTCTGTGGCCACAAAATATATTTAAAAGGGATGCACGATGAAGAAAAGGTTGAGAAGAATAAAACCATTGCATGCACGATTCTAATCTCTGTACATAATACAAAGATAAACACAATTTCTGAATATCTTTTTCAGAGACCATGATTGCTACCTTACCAGGTTTCTTTATTGCTTTATAAGCTTTTCTTATAGCTAATAGTTCATCAACAGCTACCAGTTCATTAGTCCTAATAGTGGTTGCTGTATATCTTGTCATTAATTTGACCTTCTTAATTATATCCAATTATTTCACTGTGCTTTTGCCTTTCGTTACTACAGCTTGCAGATTCTTTGCATCTTCAGCTATCAGAGTAATGTCATCAGCATTGTTCAAGCTTTTTCCTCCAGTTTTAAAATCATACTCGTACTCCAATCTAGAATCCCTCAGTGCAAATTCAGCATAAAGGTTGAATAAAAAAAGAAGAGATTACAGGTAATCCTCAATTTATTATTACAAATTTCTGTTGCTAAGTGTGACATTTGTTAAGTGAATTTGGGCCCATTTTATGACTTTTCTTACCACAGGTTACCAAAGGCTGTTAAGTGAATCGCTGCAGTTGTTAAGTTAGTAACCTGGTTGTTAAGTGACTCTGGCTTCCCCATTTTGCTTGTCAGACAGTCGTGAAAGATTATCGTGTGACCCTGGGACACTGCAACCGTCATAAATATGAGTGGAATTGCCAAGCGTCTAAATTTTGATCACGTGACCAGGGGGGTGCTGCAAGGCTTGCAAGTGTGAAAAATGGTCCTACGTCACATTTTTCAGTGCCATTGTAACTTTAAACAGTCACTAAATGAACTGTTGTAAGTCAAGTAATCCACCTCAAGACTGGATTACTGTAACGCACTCTACATGGGGCTACC